TATATACTAGTAATATTGATTTGATCAGCATATCTCAATGTTGAACCCTCCAAATTTGTATAATCAATTTTGATTCAATAAAAAAATTTTAAAAAGAGAGAGAAGGGTCATTTAAGTTCGTAAAGTTAATAAATAAATAAATAAATAAAATTTATGTAATATTTGGTAAATTGAAGATATATGTAATGTTAAAAATAAATTATGAAGCATAATAAAACTGAAGCCAGTCAACCCAGCACTGAATTTATAAAGTAGAACATTATCCAAACCATTGAGGCCACTTGTGTGCACTTTTGTAGTCTCATTACCTTTACTCCCTCTAAGAGGGAACCAATATCCTGCATTTTCTATTGAGTATTCCCTAATAGAAAGTATTTTAGTTTTGGGCCGGCCTGTGGTTCACTCGGTAGAGTGCGGTGCTGATAACACCAAGGCCACGGGTTCGGATCCCATATAGGGATGGCCGGTTTGCTCGCTGGCTGAGCGTGGTGTTGACAACACCAAGCCAAGGGTTGAGATCCCCTTACCGGTCATCTTTTAAAAAAAAAAAAAAAAAAAAAAAAAAGAAAGTATTTTAGTTTTTAAAATATATGTTTCTGTAAACAATAAATTATTAGTAAAGACAGTTTTTGGGCTCATAATGGTGTCATACTATATTCAGACTTTTTTTTTTTTTAAACAAAAAGATGACCGGTAAGGGGATCTTAACCCTTGACTTGGTGTTGTCAGCACCACGCTCTCCCAAGTGAGCCACAGGCCAGCCCAAACATTAATTTTGTGAATATTATGTGTCTAGGTTAGCCATTTAAAGGTGAATAAACATGGTTCCTTCCTTCAGAGCACTCAATGACTAATAGGAGAGACCATGTGAACAAACAGATCATTATCATCCAGTGTTATATACCCTGAAATGACAAAGTAGGAACTAAAGCTGGGCTTCTGGGATACTAGAACATCAGGATACCACCTTAAGTCTGGCAGTTCTTTTTTTTTTTTTTTTTTTTTGATAAATAATATAGATCTTTTTAAAAAAAATTTTGTCAATATACAATGTGGTTGATTACCGTGGTCAATTACCGAAACCTCCCTCCCCCCTCCCTTTCCCCCGTATCAACTTCAAGGAATTGTAATTGTTATGTCTTCTTCCCCCAAGTCTGGTAGTTCTGATGACAGTTCAGGCGCCTTCACAAGAATTGCAATAGTTTCCTCCTCCCAATCCAATATGCAAAGGTGTCTATTCTAGTGACCTGTCTTTAACATGCTTCACCTACCCTATCGCTGCTTTTCTCTTCTATCAATTTATTGGCTCTCTCCACTACATCTCCAGTTTAAATTTTTTTTTTTCCTTTTTGTCTTTTTTGTGACCGGCAACGGATCGCAACCCTCAGTGTCATGCCCGTACCGGACCGGGGACCGGCAACGGTACTGCAACCCTCGGTGTTGCTCCCGCGCCTCGCTCAGCCAGTGAGCGGGAACCGGTCTGTATGTGGGATCCGAACCCTCGGGCGGGAGCGCCGCCGCGCTTCCCAAGCGGCGCACTATCCAGTGCGCCACCGGGCCGGCCCCAGTTTAAATTTTTGAGATGATCTGCTTGGTCCAGCTAAACAATGTTTTCCTGACAGGTCACCTGATATACTGTTGACCAGTTGGGTCAGATGTGGCCACAGGAATACAGTCAGAATCCACATAATATGGCCACCAATACCCAAATTAATTCTCTACAGTCACTTTGCTCAGCAAGGGTCTGTGAAGAAGAACTCCTCAGAGGGGCTTGATTGGCATTGCAAGTGGCTTGGCCTGTCCTCTACCTGTGATATACAAGTATATGTATCATTTAAGGCTCTGTCAAAGGAATAAAAAACTCAAATCAAACTGATTTAGGAAAAGTCATTTATTGGCTTACATACTGTATTAGTCCATTCCTCATTGCTTATAACAGAATACCTGAAACTGGGTAATTTATAAAGAAATGAAATTTATTTCTTACAGTTTTGGAAGCTGGGAAGTCCAAATTCCACGGAATACATCTGGTGAGAGCCTTGTTCTTGGTGAGAACTCTCTACAGCAGTGCAGGGTATCACATGGTAAGAATAGGCTGAGCAAGAGTGAGTTAATCTTCTCACTTCCCTTATAAAGCCCTCAGAACTATGCCCATTACTCCATGAATGGATCAATCCATTCAGAAGGGTACAGGCCTCACAATCTAATCACTTCTTAAAGGCCCCACCTTTCAAATAGCATAATTGGATTTCCCACCCTTTTAGCACTGCTACAATAGGGATTAAGTTTCCAATACATGAACTTTTGGGGGTCACATTTGACTCATAGCATATACCAAGAAGCCTAGAAGCACAGCTGGCTTCAGGAATAGCTGAATCCATGTTTTCAACTGATATTGTAAAAAAATCTCTCATCCTCTCTTGGCTCTGCTTTCTTTGGGAATGGTTTAATTCTTATCCCCATTAATTCCTCCCAAGTTCAAGTTAAGTGAAAAATATAGAGTCCCTTTCCCCTCTTTTTTAGCATTATTCCTGATAGGATGAAGCAGATATGTGTAATGGCTGAGAGCACAAACTCAGGAACCAGACTGGATTGCTTACTATTTGTATAAACTTTGGCAAATTATTTAACTTTTCCAAGCCTTAGTTTCTTCATCTGAGTCACAATAGTTTCTACTTCAGAGGGTTGTTATGAGGATTAAAGGAGTTGATGTTTGCAAAATGCTTAATATAATGCCTGGTACAATATAAGGGCTAAATTATCAAGATTTGATTAGGATATAAATCTATCCTTGTGTCTAAAGGGGTCTGGCTAGAGCTGGGACTTCCTATCCAAACTACTAAAGGGTGGGGAGAATGCATGCTGGGTAAACATAAACAATAAACACCTACTACAAGAAAGTTAGCAAACTGTTGTCTGAAACAACTTCTCTCTCCTTAAGGTTTTATTTTATTACACAAATAATACATGAATTCATATACAGTGTTTCTAACAATACAAACGGATAGAGTAACCTGAGAGGATTTCTGTGTTTCTGCCTGTGGATGTAAAAAAAGGCACAAACTCTTTTTATTTACAAAATATAAGTAGCATTTGACTAACGCTTTTCTGAACAGAGTACTTTTACATACATTAGTTAATTTAATCTTGGCAATTTCTCTGGGGAATAAGTATTACTAACCTTGATTAATGGTAAGGAACTGTAACAAGCAGAAATACAGATGGTTGTAAATTTTACAGATGGTAAAGAGTTATATGTAGAATCTCCTAATAGTGCTCCCACTGCATTTTGTGTTCTATTGATACTTATCAATTGATAATCATTCCTCATTCAACAAATATATATATATATATATATATTTTTTTTTTTTTTAAAGATTACCGGTAAGGGGATCTTAACCCTTGACTTGGTGTTGTCAGCACCACGCTCACCCAGTGAGCTAACCAGCCATCCCTATATGGGATCCGAACCCGTCGTACAACTGGAACTGTAACAAGCAGAAATACAGATGGTTGTAAATTTTACAGATGGTAAAGAGTTATATGTAGAATCTCCTAATAGTGCTCCCACTGCATTTTGTGTTCTATTGATACTTATCAATTGATAATCATTCCTCATTCAACAAATATATATATATATATATATATTTTTTTTTTTTTTAAAGATTACCGGTAAGGGGATCTTAACCCTTGACTTGGTGTTGTCAGCACCACGCTCACCCAGTGAGCTAACCAGCCATCCCTATATGGGATCCGAACCCGTGGCCTTGGTGTTATCAGCACCACACTCTCCCGAGTGAGCCATGGGCCGGCCCCCATTCAACAAATATTTATTGAGTGCTTGCTATGTTCCAGGGACTGTTGTAGGCACAGGGGCTACAGCAGTGAACAAAACAGCCAAATCCATGTACTCCTTACGTTTACATGCTAGAGGAGTAAAGGCAGACAGACCACCAAAATCAATTTAAAAATATATGATATGGTAGATGATTATAAGTGCTATAGAGCAAATTTAAGCAGGAAGTGTGTAGATATGTTTCCAGTTTTTATAAGGTGGTCAGGGTTTATCATCTATTCCGACTTGTTGCAGTTCCTCCAGGACAAAAGCAAATCTTACTCCCACTTACTTTCGTACTTTCAGCAGTTAGCACAGAACCAGGTACTCAGGGAAGCAATAACTTTAAAATAAATTATAAACCTGAGAACCAAGCAGTTGGGAAACAAAGGCCTATAAATAGATATTACATATAAAGTCCGTAAATTGAATCTAATCATTTGTGAATAGTTTCGTTCATTTCCACTAATTAATTTTTAAAAATTCTGGCAGCTGGTCAGTAGAGATCGAACCCTGGACCTTAGTGTTATCAGCACCACGCTCTAACAGAGCTAACCTGCCAGCCCCTTCCCATTAATTTAATAAGCCAAGTTCTTTTTAGCACGTTTACGTTACGGAATGAAGCTCTGTTAAATAACCTTACAGGCCTTTTTACGTATTTCCAACATCTTCTAGCCACCTCTTTCGACCTACCACAGCCAATAGTGCAAAAGCTTTTATGGGTGTGCACTTTTTCAGAAAACCACTCCAGCCTTTGCCGATTATTCCTTGACATTGAGTAGTTGTTTTCTAGGGAAAAATTAGCACTCGGGGTTTCTACGGAGGTTCTGCGTTGGGCCCAGTTATCAGCTCCTCGAACCTGAAAGAATCACAGAGAAGAATTCTGATCCCAGAAAAATTACGAAAATTGAGAAAGTCTTAAGAACACTCGCGCCGTGCCCAAGCGGAACCTTGACCTCAAGATGGCGTCGCGTAGTCATAAGATTCGACCAGCTCCAATCAAAAATGGCAGGGTGGGTCGTAATTTACAGCTCGAGCCTTTCTAGTCACCCCTAGCCACTCCTTCTCTATGGTTATTCTTCTCTGCGTGGTGAGTCAGAGCCAACAGCGGAGACTATCTATATATGTTCCTCTCTATGGTTCTCCGCTCCACGCCCCCTGCCGCAGTGCACGTCGGGCAAGAGGAAGACCTCCAGAAGCACCCCGCGCAGCGCGGCTGTGTTTGCGGCCTGTGCGAATAGGCGCTGCGGACGGACGCACTCTCTGGGCGAGCGGCGCGCAGAAACCTTGACCTGGTGGAGCCCACTCGTAACCTGGAGCCTGGAAGGCAGCGAAGACAGTAATAATTCCTCAGCGGCGGGTGAGTTCACGCTTCTGAATGCGTGTGGAAACCCGGAGACCGGGTACCTCGGCTGGGGGAGGAGGAAAAGCCGGGGTGGGGTAGGGGTGAGCGG